ATTAGGGTTGATGTAGCAGCCTTTTGTTGGAAATTTGTTAGCTCAAAGGGTATCTGAGAGTTGAAAGCTCCAACGGAACGATCACCGAATGGGCCAATGGACTTAAAAAATCAGTCTGCATGTCTGGGCATGGTGACTCATGCCTGTAATCCCAGCACTTTGTGAGGCCGAGGCAGGCAGATCACCTGAGGTCAGGAGTTCGAAACCAGCCTGACCAACATGGTGAAACTCCATCTCTACCAAAAATATAAAATTAGCCAGGCGTGGTGGCACATGCCTGAAATCCCAGCTACTAGGGAGGCTGAGGCAAGAGAATCGTTTGAACCCAGGAGGCAGAGGTTGCAGTGAGCCAATATTCACACCATTGTACTCCAGCCTGGGAATCAAGAGCAAAACTCCATCTCAAAAAAAAAAAAAAAAAAAAAAATCAGTCTGCCATCATCAGTAAACAAATAAAATTATGTTGGATTTTCTTAAATATTTAACTACCAGATTATGGCAAAACTTAAATTAAATTGATCCTGAATTGCTACAAAAATGGCATTTGTGAAATTCCAAAAATGTTTGGATACTGTAAGTTTTATGAGCTGTGGACTAATAAATCGCTCTGTTTCAAACTATTTAATCTCGCCATATTAGTCCCGAACAACCTAAGAAGCTACACTTCCAAAATGCAGCTAAAAAAAGAAAATTTAATCAGGGGCATATAAACAATATTATAATAGATAATAGTATCTACCCAACTAGCCAGTGTAATTTGAATTTAATGAAGGGTTACTGTCATACAATGAAACATAGTTTCGTTCAACTGGATTTTTTTAAGCTTTCTTAAAATATAATGAAATATTTTGTGTGATCTTTTTTCTTTTTTTAATTGCATTTTAGGTTTTGGGGTACATGTGAAGAACATGCAAGACTGTTGCATAGGTACACACGTGGCAGTGTGATTTGCTGCCTTCCTCCCCATCACCTATATCTGGCATTTCTCCCCATGCTATCTCTCCCCAACTCCCCACCCCTTGCTGTCACTCCCCTATTTCCCCCCCGACAGACCCCAGTATGTGATGCTCCCCTCCCTGTGTCCATGTGTTCTGAATGTTCAACACCCACCTATGAGTGAGAACATGCGGTGTTTGATTTTTCTGTTCTTCTGTCAGTTTGCTGAGAATGATGGTTTCCATGTTCATCCATGTCCCTACACAGTACACGAACTCATCGTTTTTTATGGCTGCATAGTACTCCACGGTGTATATGTGCCACATTTTCCTGTCCAGTCTATCATCGATGGGCATTTGGGTTGGTTCCAGGTCTTTGCTACTGTAAACTGTGCTGCAATGAACATTCGTATGCATGTGTCCTTATAGTAGAACGATTTATACTCCTTTGGATATATACCCAGTAATGGGATTGCTGGGTCAAATGGAATTTCTATTTCTAAGGCCTTGAGGAATTGCCACACTGTCTTCGACAATGGTTAAACTAATTTACACTCCCACCAACAGTGTAAAAGTGTTCCTATTTCTCCACATCCTCTCCAGCATCTGTTGTCTCCAGATTATTTAATGATCGCCATTCTAACTAGCGTGAGATGGTATCTCAATGTGGTTTTGATTTGCATTTCTCTAATGACCAGTGACGATGAGCATTTTTTCATATGTTTGTTGGCCTCATGTATGTCTTCTTTTGTAAAATGTCTATTCATATTGGAATTTTTTTTAAGACAGGTTCTCACTCTATCACCCAGGCTGCAGTGCAGTGGCACGATCACAGCTCACTACATCCTTGACCTCCTGGGATCAAATGATCCTCGCACCTCAGCCTCTCTAGTGTCTGGGACTACAAGTGCGCAGCACCACACCCGGCTACTTTTTGTAGTTTTTGTAGAAATGGGGTTTTGCCATGTTGTCCAGGCTGGTCCTGAACTCCTGGACTCAAGCAATCCTCCTGTCTCAGCCCTCCAAAGTGCTGGGATTATAGGCGTAAGGGCCCAGCCAGGCATGAACCCCTGGCCAGCTTTTACGTTTGTTGGAAAAATTTTTTAAGCCTTTGTCAGAAATGGCACAAACAACTGATGTAGGAATTCAGTTTTTTTAGAGATATCTCCTTTATAATCAAAAAAATACAGAAATCAAAGTTAGATTGCAAAACTGACCATTAGCAATATTAAAAAATTTTGCATTATCAATCTCTGATCTTTGTCCATTTTTAGGAAAAATATATATTGCATTATTTTTTATTGTGCTATTTGGTGTTTTGCAAAGAGTGACTATGTTGTGCATGAGAATTATCTGAACTGTGAAAAATACAGACTCACAGGTAATATTCTCATATCAAATACTGATTTGATCCCTGGAGTTTGGATCCAAGCACCTGCATTTTTAACAGACATTATAGATGATTTTTCTCCTAAGTTCTGGGAACCCCTGGTATAAGCGATTTTTAGCTCTTCAGACAGAAGATTTTGAAGGCTAATTACAATGGCTGCTAATTTGTCAATAATTTTTATTTGAATACCAGGCAATTTAAAGACATGAAAAATTCACTGTGAAAAACACAAATAACAGCGCAAAATAAATATTTAATTGACCTATTAGAATCACTAATAATATAATTGCTTTGTTGAAAATCTTTTAAGGCTGAAATTTTAAAAAATATATTTTTTCAAAATTACAATATAGCTACTATAAAATATGATTACATGCCATGGGCTGAACTGTATCTCACCAAAATTTGTATGTTGAATCATGCTTCATGGTTATGATTCCTCAACGTGATGGTATTTGCAGGTGGGGCCTTTGGGAGATGATTAGGTTTAGATGAAATCGTGAAGATGTAATTAGTGCCCTTATCAGGTGCGGTGGCTCACGCCTGTAATCCCAGCACTTTGGGAGGCCAAGGCGGGTGGATCATGAGGTCAAGAGATCGAGACCATCCTGGTCAACATGGTGAAACCCTGTCTCTACTAAAAATACAAAAAATTAGCTGGGCACGGTGGCATGTGCCTGTAATCCCAGCTACTCAGGAGGCTGAGGCAGGAGAATTGCCTGAACCCAGGAGGCGGAGGTTGCGGTGAGCCAAGATCGCACCATTGCACTCCAGCCTGGGTAACAAGAGCGAAACTGTCTCAAAAAAAAAAAAAAAGAAATCTGAGAGTTTACGCTCGCTCTGTTTCTCTCTCTCTCTCTGCCATGTGAGGACACAGTGAGAAAGCCACAATCTGCTGGCCAAGAAGGGGGCCTCACCAAACCTGGCCATGGTAGCCTTCTGATCTTGGACTTGCAGCCTCCAGAGCTGTGAGAAAATTAATTTCTGTTGTTTAAGCCACCTGGTTGATGGTACTTTCTCAAACTAAGACACCATATAAGTGCAAGTTTTAAAAATATCAATATATTTAGTTTTATTAATTCCTGTCCCTGCTCATATAACAGAATGCTCTGTTTTCAAGTTAAAAACATGTTAGACTCTTCCTCTTTCAGCACCTAAGAAATACTATTTGACAACAATCAACAAAATTAATTTGCAAAACTTGTTAACAATGTGTCCCACGTCAAATCACACAGATGTAACCTTTTTCAGATATGTTGTTTGAAAGTGGTTGTATCAGCTGAATTTTTCATGTTTTACTTCAGATTTTCAATGTTGTTTTGTTTATAGAGTTCTTTGATTAAAGTAAAGGATATAATGAATAAGTTATTAACGAAGGTTATAAATAAAGGCCTGTGCCTATGATGTGTTATAAACGGTGCATTTAGCTTTACTAGTTAATGCTGCTGTTGTATTTGACCTCACTTCAGAGACCCTTTTTTGTTAGTTTATTGTTATTTAAAATTAAACAAAATCTTTCTTGCATGAAATTTTCTTGATTAATTACTGCCATAAGGAATTTTCATTTACCTAATTTTTTTTTTTTTTTTTGATACAGAGTCTCACTTTGTCACCCAGACTGGAGTACAGTGGCAGATCTTGGCTCACTGAAACCTCCACTCCCGGGTTCAAGTGATTCTCCTGCCTCAGTCTCCGGAGTAGCTGGGACTATGGGCGGGCACCACCAAGCCCAGTTAATTTTTGTATTTTTAGTAAAAATGGGATTTCACTATGTTGGCCAGGCTGGTCTCAAACTCCTGACCTCAAATGATCTGCCTGCCTTGGCCTCCCAAAGTGCTGGGATTACAGACGTAAGCCACTGCGCCTGGTTTCATTCACCTAATCTTTATTGTCTACTATATTCAAAGTGTTGAATGTGACACAAGTCATTTAAAATTTAATGTGAATTCTCAAGAGTTTGTAATATAATGAGGAAAAAACCCCAACAACTTTCTTTTACTCAGATCTGCACGATGTCATTTGCCATCAATGGTTTGGAATATCACTGAAGACCAAGGGCCTCTGACTGCCCAATATTCCAAATACAATACAATTTGGTTCAATAAGATATTAAGAACTTTGGTCAAGCACAGGAGATCTGGGATCTAGCGGCATGTCTTTGGCAATTCACAACCTCTCCCTCTACACTTGTTTCTCCATGTGGAAAGTAAAGGTCTTGGAAAGGATTGACGAAAACCAGCCCTGAAACTCCACGATGCCTTTTCGCGTACAAATATTTGCAAACAATGCTAGAGCTCGAAAAGAGCAAGAAAGCAGAAACCGTCCAGCAAAAGTAAGTAACCGACCGCTGATCTCCTGCAGCTCTGCAAACTGAGCAGCCAACCAACTTCACGACTCAGAAACGTTTGGCCTCCGGGCATTGTGACTTTCTGCCCAGGTAAAGTCTTTTTTCTTTTGTCTCCGTTTTTTTCTTCCTCCTTGCTTTGCCGTGTGGGATCACCATTCCTCGGGGCAGCTCGTGAACGCCCGGGAGGCGAGTGTGAAACACTCGCACCGACGCCCCTCCTCCTCCTCGTGCTCTCCTCCTTCCTACAGAAAAATGCGTTTCTAGGTAACGGCGGGCGGCGCGTCACTTCCTGCCATTTAAACTCAGGTCCCCACCCCTCTCAGCCCTTCTCGCTTCCACCCCCTCCCCTCTTGGTCTTGGGCCTCATTCACGCTTCCCTGGGCTTGGGGAGGGGGCGGAGGCCTGGAGTGACAAGCGGCCCCGGCTCCCGTGGGTGCCGTACACCTGTTGTTTGCAGCAGCCTGCGACCCGCACTGCCGCTCTCGGAGGGCCGGGAAGCAGCAGCGGCGGAGCCGACCCGGCAGGTGGCCGCGGGCGGGGCAGGCGAGCAAAAGTGCGCGGGGGCCCGACCACCGCGGGGCCGGGAAGCGATGGCGGCGGCGGAGCCCGCGAGCTCCGGCCAGCAGGCACCGCCAGGGCAGGGGCAGGACCAGCGGCCGCAGCCGCAGCCTCCGCAGGCGCAAGCTCCCCAGCCGCCGTCGCAGCAGCAGCTTGGGGGCGTTGGGGGCGGCAGCAGCAGGCACGAGAAGAGCCTGGGGCTGCTCACCACCAAGTTCGTGTCGCTGTTGCAGGAGGCCAAGGACGGCGTTCTGGATCTCAAAGCGGTGAGCTCGGGAGGCGGGGACGGGGGCGGACTTCGGAACCCGTGGCCCCCGGGGAAGCCCAGCCCCTCGCGGCGTGGGTCTGGCGGCGTGGTTTGGACGCGCCCTGCGGGGATCCGGGACCGAGCGATCCGAGGACCATGTGGCCTGCGCCCGGGTCCTGGACGCCGGGATGGGGGAGGGACGAGGGACCAGGATGGCCCCGAGCGGACGCGTAACCAATGGGGCCCGGCGCCACGCTGGACTCTCGACAAAGAGCCCTGCACCTCGAGCGCGCCCGCGTGGCTTCTGTCTCCGGGCGCAGGGACCTGAGGGCAAACGAGTGTCTGTTGCTCCGCGTCCACCTGTGGCAGAGGCTCAGGGAGTAACGGGCGCTTTGCCCGGAGACACTGTGAAAATCGATTTTGCTGTTAAGAACTGATGGTTTTAATAGGCGATTCCAGTTGGATCCATGTTCCTTTAGTTTAAATAAAAAGGAGGAGAAACAGAACCCAGTCTGCCATCTCTACCGGATGAAAGGGGGAAAAATTACTTCTTTCCATGACCCTCCCCGATAAAATAATGATGCTAATAAAAAAATTTCCTTGTGTACTTCTTTTCAACACCCTGAAAGTTAGGAAGGGTGTTTGATTTGTGACTTCATTTGGCATGTGTCATGAGTTTTCCAAATGTGAGATCTGCTATCACAAGAAAAGGGGGTATTTTACAACTTTTCACTCAAAGAGGAGGAAGTGCTCAGTAAACTCTCTCCCCGCCTCATCCTTTACTGCGTTCAGATTTTTCAAACAGGAGCAAGCATCAAAAGCTGTTCTGTCATACAGAATGACAACTGATCTAGGCAGAATTTGGAAGAATTCAACATCGCTCAGAATGAAGAGAATGTGATCACTCTGTGCGCCAAGTTTAAGAGCCAAAGTTTTAGAAACAAACAAAAAATTCTAACTTGCAGTAATCACTGCAAGCCCCCTTTGCTTCCTAAATGTGGTATTACTTGGAGGATTGACCTCAGCATCCGGGGAGTGCCTAGACCACCTTACCTGGCTTCAGAGTGTCACTGCATCCTCCAGGCTCTGCATAAAGCAATGGCACCTCCCTGAATGTAAGGACCAGGCTTGCAAGGGCCAGCTCTCCCTGTCTTCTGCTAAGGGCCCTCCTTTAGTGTAGCCCAAGGGGAAGTAGATCTTTCAGTGCCTTCTGCTTTCCCTGGATGTAGTTGGTGTTCAGTCAGTGATTGTTGAATTGAATTATCTAAATTGTTAACTTCTTGCAAGTGAGGCATGCTGTATATATTTTGTATTTTGGTAAGTAATTTCTCCTATTTTCTTTTTGAGATGTTATTCCTGGAATTTTTTCCCACCTCTGGAAGTTCCTTGATCTCTTTTCCACCACAGGCCCTTCTTCCTTTCTCTCCCTGAAAGTGATTTATGGCATATATAGTATTTAAATTTTAGTGAATTAAAATGGACTCTGTTTAAAGAATTTCAGAAAGTCATGAAGTTGTCAGAGAAAGCCAGAGATGTTACAAAGCACAGGTTGCAAACTGCTGTTCAAAATCTAGAAATTCAACTGTACCTTTAACTTCAGTGTAAGAAAATCAGGGAAGTTTGGGGTTTTCCAGATAAAACTGAACTCTGATGGCCAGATTTTGAGGGCTTCTCCCTCAACTTGCCTCAGGGTATGGTGGAACTTTGCCCTTTCTTGACTTGAAATTCTTTAGCTTCCTCCTGTTTCATCTGTGGCCATATAATTGCCCTACAGAAGTCACAGAGGCAGTGAGTAGGATGTACAGTTTGGTATTTCATAACAATAATTGCTTAATTCATTCTGGAACTCTCCTGAAAATTCAAAGGCTTCTACAATAACACTAAGTTTCATTATATTATGACTTTATACTCCTAGAAAGGAGTTTGAATGTTATTAGTTTTCATATATATGAAAAACATATACATTTTATGTATTTTACATATATTATTTACATATATAATCTAATATATGTAAACTTTTACATTGAAATCTTTCCAATGATATTTCTTATTGTATATCATTGTAAAAGATCATTAAGACTTTTATTTTTTGAGACCAAGTCTCACTCTGTAGCCCAAGCTGGAGTGCAGTGGTGTGATCTCTGCTCACTGCAACCTCAGCCTTCCAGGTTCAAGCAGTTCTGTCTCAGCCTCCAAAGTAGCTGGGATTTTAGGTGCCCGCCACCACGCCTGGCTAATTTTTGTATTTTTAGGAGAGATGAGGTTTCACCATATTGGCCAGGCTATTCTCAAACTCCCAACATCAAATGATCTGCCTGCCTCAGGCTCCTAAAGTGCTGGGATTACAGGTGTGAGCCACTGTACCTGGCTTATTAAGACATTTTTGATAATACATATTAAAGATGGACTCACACTAACAATTATAATTTTCCTCTAATTTGAAATTATAAACACACATTTTCTTTTTCTTATATTCTTACTTTGGTGGGGGCATATTTCAGCATAATTTTTTTGAAACTTTTATAGACGACTTTTTAAAAGCAGTTGAAGAAACTATATATATATATATATATATATATGGTTTTTTGGTTGATTTTGTTTGTTTGTTTTTTTGAGACAGGGTCTCATTCTGTCACCCAGGCTGGAGTGCAGTGGCACAGTCTCAGCTCACTGCAACCTCCGCTTCCCAGGCGCAAACAATTCTGCCTCAGCATCCCAAGTAGCTGGGACTATAGATGTGCATCATTACACCTGACTTATTTTTATATTTTTAGTAGAGACAGGGTTTTGCCATGTTGCCCATGCTGGTCTTGAATTCCTGAGCTCAAAGCTATCTGCCTACCTTGGTCTCCCAAAGTGCTGGGATTACAGGCATGAAACACCACGCTTGGCCTTGAAGAAACAGTTTTTGAATATTCCAAATAATAAAAAATTATGTCAAACTTCAAATAGAATATCCAAATATTTTGGGTATCATAAAGTATCCTAGAACACATAGATGCGATTTGTTTTCTAACTTATACTGTCACTAAGATTAGTGACACATTTCTTCTTAATATAACTAATTGAAAACATGGCTTAACACAGAAAATCAATTTTAATAAAGCTGTTGTAGTATAACGAGATGTCAACCACCACCTGCAGAGGTCTGTCCTGCAGACTTTGACACAGAGACAGATGAATAAATGCACTCTCATACCGGGTTCAGTGATTCAAGTGAGCTAAGGATGGTCATTGACTGCTTTATTATTATTATTATTTTTTGAGATGGGGGTCTCACTCTGTCGCCCCAGCTGGAGTGCAGTAGTACACTCTCAGCACCCAGCTAATTTTTGTATTTTTAGTAGAGACGGGGTTTCACTGTTTTGGCCAGGCTGGTCTTGAACTCCCAACCTCATGATCCACTGGATTTAGCCTCCCAAAGTGCTAGGATTGTAGGTATGAGTCACAGTGCCTGGCCTGTCTTCAGCTGCTTTCACAGGGTGAACTGCAGCCAATTGACCAAGACTCCCTCTCCATCATTACATTTATTCAATCAGATTTTATAATGGAGGTTCTAAGTTAACACACCAGTGGATAATTAACATGGTTAAAAGAGTGGTTTTAGCAATGATAAAAGCTTTAGGTTCCAGGCCCAGAGTAAACACTGTTAACAGGTAATTCCCCTTTGATCTCCCCCAGATGGCCATCCAGCACAACATTTGCACGAGTAAACAGAGTAGAGACAAAGGGATGTGGGGTAAACAGACTTAAACTGGGAAAGACTCTTAATGTCCCTATCTTCTCCCTATTTTAATGGACCAGCTGCCTTCAACCTGTCCCAATAAAACCTTTTGGACTTCCAAACGGTTTGAGACCTTTTGAAATCTATAACTTTCCCTAATATTTTCCATAATATTTTGCCAGCCACCCTGAGTGAATCTCAACAGTATAACCTAATAATTAGGAGGCAATAGAAGTCCAGTAAAAGTGATTTGAGACCACGAGGAAGAGACATCGTATTCTCTCTTTTAAAAAAAAAAAAAAGGAAAGTGATTTGAGAAAAGTTTATTCATTATCTCTGCAGCTTCAGCCACACCATATAGTTTCATTTACAGTAGTGGAGGTGGGATAGTTATTTCTTTACTCCAGTGAGAGAAGAAATTATATCATGGTTATTTCAAGCTATGTGGTTTGCCAGTTTATGCTGTTAATAGGTAATATAGATCAAGAGTTTACTATGGCCAATACATTTTCTGCAGAATAACCCCATTTCACAGCTTAGAAACTGCTAGTTAAGTAGGTCAAGATAGGTTAGATAACTTGCCCAGTGTTATACAGTAGAAAGTGAGAGTTAGTATTTGAAACTATACCATTTGTTGTTATTCTCTGTTATGCCGCTTTTCAGTAGTCTTCAAAAATAAATGTTCGTAGGTATGTTTCCGTTTGTGTAAAGGCATGGAAAAATGCATGATTATTATTATTCTTCTGCCGATGGTGGAAAAGAGGGAGGTACTGTGCTCCTGCATTGAAAATGAGGGTATTGGTGGCAAATTCTATATTATTGCACAAATTAAGCTAGGATTCCACTTACTCACAGTTAAGAATTTGGACAACTGTTAAGACAGTCATGACTACGTACCTATGTTGTTTTGAAAATTCCTATTAAATGTAAGCTAGAACTAAATTTCTACATTTTAACATTTTGGTGTCACCTTGAACTTTTTTAAGCATGACGAAGATTGCTTATCTCCTTTATTATAATTGTTTAACTTACAAATTACCTGAATGATACCTGAGTTAATGTGATAAAGTATTTATGGTGTTTCTTATCTGACAGGTTCCTGATGCATACCCATTTATGATAGCCTGATTTAGATATATCCTGCAATAAATAAATAATTTAAGACCTTAGTTTGTAATACCAGGCAAACATTTTAAGGTAGAATTAGCCTAAGAAGAGATACGTGGGTAGGACAGCCAGAACTTTAGTGCATACTTACAAATTCTTGGGACACCTCCACTCCTGGGTGTATAACC